CTGTCCCACCTCGCCTTTACGGAGTGCCCGAGAGAAACGAGGGAAATTCTGTCGCTACAATATTTCATCGATGGCATCCGGGACCCTGAAATACAGAAAGCACTGCGAATGGCCGATGTTAAAGATTTGAAAAGCGCTTTAGTGTATGCCATGAAATTTGAGGCAGCCCAGCAAGCAACTCTTAGGGATAGCTACCCAGTCAGATCTGTGCGAGTCCACGACCCAGGGGACCAATTGATGGCTCGTTTAGATGATTTATCCAGACAAGTCGATGCTTTGATACGGAGTAGCAGTGAGAACAAAGTGGCTGTAAAATGTTGGAGATGTGGTTCTGAAGGTCACCTACGACGGCATTGCAGAACACCCCAGGGCACGGATAATAAAACGGATGAGTTGACAAGACCAGTGAATGCTTTAAGACGGAATAGTGGTGAAACAAAACCGACCCTAAAGTGCTGGAATTGCGGTGTTGAAGGCCACCTACGAAGGAACTGCAGAACTCCCCAGAGCACGGAAAATAAGGCATACGATTTAAAGAGACAATTAAATGCCACGGGAAGGAAAAGGACTGACAAGAAACCAAAGTGCTGGAACTGTGGAGCTGAAGGCCACGTACGAAAGAATGCAGAACACCCCAGGGTACGAAAATTGAGACATTTCTGAGCACGACGACGCAGGAAACAAATTAATGACCATATCAAGGAACGGAGGTTGCCAGATAATGAAAAACCCTGTTTTAAAGCGCTTAAGATCTCTATAGTGAGTGGCAACAATAACGGACTGTCCATCAATGGGAATATCGATGGAGTTCCTTGCAATATGATCAATTGACACAGGAGCTAATGTTACCATCATTAGGAAGATTTAGCTGAACAGTTTAAAGATAAATTTATTTGGACGCCATCCTGTGTTACCCTTCAGACTGCGTCTGGAGATAAGATCGACATAACTGGGAAGTTAAACGTGAACATCACGTTTGGAAGTGCCCGCCTACCATCACACGGCATATGTGGCGGATATTACAGATCCATGCATACTCGGATTGGACTTTTTAAGGAAATACAATTTTTCCTTAGACTTCAAAAACAACAAGCTGCTTTCAGCATCTGATGGCATGACTATCCATCCTCAAAAGGGATGCTCGCCTGGAAATGTCGACGCCTTGTCCGAAAGATCGAGCTCGGGAAGCTGCCGAAATCATACTAGGGTCGAAAAGAAACTCAAGACTACCAGCTATTTTCCATCCCAGAAGCTCTTCGGTCGAGACCTTCGTCTGCCTTGTGACAGCCTGTTTAGTCACCCTACGGATGCGCCTTCATCGCCTGAGGAACACATCCAAGATGCCCAGGCCCGGTTTGAGGGGATGCACCGTTCTGCACGAAAGCGAGTCAACTTGGCGACGGAGAAAATGAAGATCAGATGCGACACAAGAGCTACTGACAGAGATCCAACAAAGGAGACAAGGTGTGGTTGTGGAACCCGATTCGATGAAAAGGACTCAGTCCTAAATTACAGTCACCTTCGGGATGGTCCACCATACAGTGCCTAAACAGGCTGAATGACGTCGTGGTTCGGATCCGTGAGTCTTCGAACTCTTACGACAGGTTAGCTTATTACTATGGCCATAGTACGTAATGTAAATAATTGTAAATAGTATCAGACCATGGTCCTTTTTGTTTATAAATGTGTATTTAGTATTTGATTGCATTTAGTATTTGATTCGTATTTAGTATTTGTTTTGTATTTAGTATTTAATAGCCTTTGATTTGTTTAAGTTAGTTATTGCATTTATTGTTCATGTTGTTTGATATTGTAATGTAATGTTCATGCCACAGTTGTAAGTTTAGCTTCCTGTCCAGGGATTGTACTGCCCGGGACGTGCAGTCCTTGGGAAGGGGGCAGTGTTACGAATTTGGTATTTAAAAAGCTAATGTTAGTTCAATTATAAATTAAATGGTTTTATTTCTCGCGCAGTGCAGCGCGTGACGAATATTAAAAGAAAGCTAAGCCGGAAAAATTAAAAATACAAGAGCGCGTGCATTAAATAAATAAATAACTCTTTTTGATTTCGAGAAAGTACTGGAAAATTCTAGCACGTGATTTTAAAATCTTATAAAAGGAGGAAAACATCTCAGTTTGTGTAGTTAGTTGCTTAGTTTGTTGTTGTTTAGAAAACTGCTCTTGTTGATTGTAGCGAATTCGCGGATTAGCGTTCTTTAGCTGTTTTGAATTACGTTCTATTGGACATTTGAGTAGTTAAAAGATAACTACTGTGAGATATTGTAATACTGCATGATAAATTGAGAAAATTTAAGCATTTTTGTTGTGATAATAATAAATTTTTGTTCATTTTTCATCGGACTTGTGCATTCATTTCATAACGAACCCGTACGCACGCAACAATATTTAACTTTTGACAAGTACTAATAAAAGCTAAATCAAATTTGTATCTTAAAATCTTTGAACAAGATTAATATCACAAAGTAAATTAATTAGCTCTATTTCTAGATTTTCTGAAGAGTTTCGTTCATTTTTGGTAATGAATATAATGTAAAACTGGATTCCAGACTAAAATCTTAAACGTTTTCTTCAAATTCTTGTCATAATGATGCTAATTAATTTACGGGAAATTTATTCGCAGGCAGCATAAAATTACTACGAGGGCTGCCAGTTTGACTTTGACACTGCTTTACTAGAAAGCAATATATGTGATTAAAATTAAATTGCTAGTTTTAAACAGGCGAAGTTAGAGCAGATGCAACATAGTGACGTCAGACTACTTCCTGTTAACCCCCCCCCCCTTCGAGGATCGCGTCGGCGAGGAGTCGCACTAAGGAATAAGCTAGCCGTTCTGTTTAATCATGGTCTTGAATAAGCAGAAAAAAATGCCAGGGGTAGTAAACTAAAAGTTATAGTAAAAAGGTCTAATTTTCCATTCACTTATATTTTTGACATTTATTTATGACATACTTCATTGTCATGAAACTCGACTTTTATTCGTTCAAGACCTTTTTTTTTTTTTTTTTTTCCTTTCATTGGCGGGCACTTGCCCTATGTCGGTATCGGCCACTCCGGTGCTCTCTTTGGAGGCATCTGATAGATCGGTCACCTTTGCCTCTTATGAAGAGACAAACAATTGCATCCACGCCTTCTCCGGGATTCGAACCCGGGCCCTTCGGCACTGCAGTCAGGCACCTCTAACTACTGTACCGTCTGGGCGGTTGTTTGTTCAAGCTAACTTGTTACAATTTTTCTCCATTAAAAATAAGCTAAGCGTTGACTAATTTTATAGGTTATATAATACCTATATATAGCAGATAATCAAATTGTGAAAAGTTAGCATCTTTGGCGGGATACTTAAACACGTTAATAACTGCTGCCGGAAAGATGAGTAGGCAAGGACGGAAACTGCAGATTTTTCTAAAATTAATTTAACTCCCTTACTGAATGTTTACATTTTCTTAATCAGAGTTCCCCCCTCCAATAAAAATATTTCAATGTGTAGTTAATCCTATACAGAAATACTTAACATAACTTTTAGCTAAAGTTTTGAAATATATATAAAACTTTGAAGAGTTGCATTGATTGAATATGTAAGGAATGTATTAAAATCGTAAACGTTTCGTAAATGAATTAGTTTAATAATTAATGATGATTCATGCATAATTTACGCTTATTGTTAAACTGCACAATTAATAGATAGCATTCGATTATGGATAATTTAGTTTAATTAAGGTTAAATTATTTGTAATTATTATTTAATAAAAACTGAAAATTACTTTAAAATCCTTGGGAACTTGCAACGATTACTTTCTTATTTTAACATGTTTTCCCTTTCATCGGTTACTTCATTAAGAATAAAACAGTTCCACCCCCCCCAAATAAACGTACGACTTATGAAAAACAATAATGCGTATAAAAGCGTATTAAATGAAAAGAACTGGGTAAGTTACACAGCGGCTGACATTTGTTTTCGGACACTTCTATTTCTGAAATTTGTTTGCATACGTCTTTATTAAATATTAAAACATAAACTAATTTTTTTTTCTAATATATCTTTTCTCTCTATTTTAATCTTTGCTTTTTGTAAAATAAATATCATCAAAATATTCTAAAATAATTTACTCAAAAAGTGTTATTTAGAACTCACATAATAATTCGGGCACTCTAAATTTTTGATGAAATGTTCTGATAGACAATTTTTCTTGTCGTAATTTCGTAATTCTTTTTAAATGAAAATACAGCAAAAGAATTACCAACTGTATTTGAAAATTTTCTTTTGTTTAGTAAAATATATTAATAGGTCTATATTTAACGTAAACATGGAAACACGCTACACAATTTAATGACCACTTCAGTTAGAAAGCGTTCATAGGTAATGCAACACTTATTTTAGGTTTTACGAGCCATTGTTTTTAAAATTAGTATGATTTTTTCTTTTCAATAAGTATGCTTTATTAGCGATTTAAACTAGTTTCAATTAGTTAATATCTTCTGTTTGCTATTAAAAATTAATTAAATATATTTAAATCAGTTAAGTAGCCAAATTTACTTACAATGAGTAAGTAAAACAAAATTCGAGAAGCCAAATATTTATTCACGTTTCCCAATGTTTACAGCCTCTTAGGAAACAAATAAGCAAATTTCTTAAAAAAAAAAAAAAAAGAGAGAGAGAGAGAGAGAAAGAAAGAATTAAATTAATTCGACATATTTTGAGAAAGTCCTCAATTTGAAATGTAAATAAATAAATACGATATAATGCGGAACGATTGTTGCATTGAAAAATATTATTGCGCTAAAATGATGCAGGCCATAAAAAAATAATAAAAAAACATTTTTTTGTAAGGCAGTAAAAGCACGATAACGAGTGCTGTAATAAAAGTGACTGTTTCAGCGCAAAATCGGAGCAGACGTTTTTATTCGTCTTTCGATTCTGACGTCACAGTTAGCGCTCCAACTGCGCATGTGTCAGTATTTTCGCGAATATCAAACACAGCTAGATGCTCTTATGCTTTCATAGGAGCAACTTCTCATAGTGCTGATCTAATAAATCCCTTTAGAGGTTGAAAAAGAAACTTTTGAGGAAGAGATTGCAGATGTTCGCATCTCTTTCAAGAGAACAACTGTCCGAATTTCGGACTCTATTAATTTCTTCGGTTGTTAATGCAAAAGAAACTTTGGATTTGTGATTTTGTGAAGATATTTACTTTTTATTCTTTCATAAACTGAAAGGATATATGATTCAAACAGGGACATTGTTTTGATCTTAAGAGAAAATTTTGGAGATTTTTTTTTATGTGGTAAGTTTACCATTTTCTGATTAAATATACATAACTGTATTAAATTTATAATTATATGGAAATTTTTGTTTTTATTTCCTATTTTCTGTTAATTATTCAATCCATTAAATGTGATGGAAAAACATTAAAAACTTCTAATTATATGATTCGCTTCATTTAAGTAAATAATAAATTAAAATTTTACAATAATAATTTTTCTCCGTTTTCTCTCTTTCAAAAGTTTCATTTCTGCATTGTCATGTCAGCTTTATTATACTATCACATCAATGTAATTTTCTGAGTGTATTCCAATTTAAACAATATTAAAATTTAAGATTTATATTATATTTATATAAGTTAGTAAATTTTAGATTAAAGAAATCTGATTAATAATCTAATCTTTAACTGCATAATAAACTAAACCCTTAAAAATAAACGCAGTTTATGTATTTTTAAAGTTATTAAAATTCTAATCATCTTAGTTAACATCAAATACTGTATTGTATATTTAAACGGATAAAACTTCAAAAATGAAACACATATGTATCTACATAATTTTCGTAAAATACGAACTAGGAATTTAAATAATCATTAAAACAGAATGCTCAATTCATATTACGTTATCTGCTTGAATTTCACACACACACACACACACACACACACACACACACACACACAAAAAAAAAAAAAAAAAAAAAAAAATTGTTTTAAATATATTAATAGCATTATTGCTTGTGTTTTTACCATTAAAAAATCGTTAAACATTTAACACGTACGTTGGATTGGAACTTGATTTTGTTTAAAAGTAAGTATGAAACTGTATAGAGCAATAATTCATTAATAATAAATAACATAAGAAAAACAAGCTTCTGGTACTCATTGAGAAGGAATGATGAAATGGAAATGCTTTCTGTCTTAACAGTTTCCATAACCAAGGCCGGCTAGAAATTATACGTACAAACATGTTAAAAATGAAATTGCTGAACGCAGTTTGGAGATTGCGAAGGGCTAAAAATCTAATTGTGGGTGACATTTCCAAGAAAGGTTTTAATATTCACTGAAGCAAAACGATTGTGCGCGTGTCTTTTGTATTTATTTTTTAAATTCCTTTCTTTTTTTAAGTGCCATTGTTAACATTTAGTCATTGAGTCTTTTATTGAAAATGCCAGATGTCAAGTATTATCCTTACGTCAGTTTTTATATTTGATGTGCTCTTTTGTCCATTTATTATTTTTATAATATTTATGTAGAAATGTAAATGTTTAAAGTATTAAATTTTTTAGTTAATTATAATTTCTTTTCTCTTTTCTAAAAAGTTGGGAAAATGAAGAGAGTGGACTCTTGCATTCTGAAAACTTCATGTTACGGTCTAGCACCTCTGAAGGATTTTACCTTTAAATAAGAGAAAAATAACATTTGTTATTGCCAATTCGCAAAGCTAAATATTAACTTTTAAACAAAATTAAAAAAAGAGGGAAATATAAATTTTGACATCCCAGGCTTTCGTTTCTACATTTTTTTATTAAAATTGTTTTAAATGAACATTAAGATATTAAAAGTGCTTAACTTATGTGTTTTACGTTTAATTGCTTTGTAAGTATTTTTCTTTTAACAAGTTTTAATTACTTTAATTTTAAATTGAAAAAAAAAACGATAATGTGTCGGAGCTCTTCAGTAATGGGGAACTGTCTAGATGTATTTTTGTCAATAAGCAAATTAATTTACAACGTTTTAATATCTTACAGTGCTGCGATGAAAGAACTATGTTGTTCATCTCTCATTAATCAACCGATTTAATGTTTTAAATACTCACCCGTTGTCAAGGTCTGTTTGAAACATTAAATAGGGTAGATTAATAATTTTTAACCATTTATTTACTTTTTCATCGGTTAATTTTTTATTGCTTCTTTAATTCTGATGTTATTACTAATGTTTATTGCTATATTTGCATCCCGTACAATTACCCTTTCACCTTTTTAAATTTTCATTTTTACTTTTGAAATCTCTTAAATATTCCGCCTGCACCTTTTTCTAATAATATCTTAATTTTTACTCATCTTGAACTTTATATATATATATATATATATATATATATATATTGAAGTTCAATAAAGATATAAAGTAAGAAATTTAGAACTAATTTTTCACAAAGACCAAAAATTGAAATTAATAAGTAATAAATTTCATAAAATCCTATAACTGTAAAAAAAATAATAGTTTAATACTTATAAAAAACTAAAATATTTCTAACAAGTAAAATCCTAATTAAAAAATCAATGAAATTTAAAGTCCATATGTTGCTGCAAAATTTCAAGTTAATATTAGAATTATACGGAATTAGAAATATAATATATATTAGAATTATATATATATATTATATTTTGTAGCTGTTAAAAACTGTTAAAAAAACAGTAGCCCAGACAAGATGCTAAAAGCTGTTGTTTTTAATTTTAATAAAAAATGTTTTCCAGTAACATTGGGGACAAAATACTCAGTTCATCATGTACTATTTGAATTTCATTAAAAATTTTATAAGGTATTTCTCCCGCCTTCTTAGCATGCCTTCGTAGTGTAGTGGTCAGCACGCTCGACGCGTATTCGAGAGGTCCGAGAGTACCGGCGAGGGCATTGCTCCTTTTTCCCGTCTCCAGCTTCAAAATACCTAATATTTCTACAGAGGCTCCCGAACTTAAAAAGGTGGTGGATGATGTATCTCCACAACCAGGATTTGGCAATTGGGTTCTATAATTCCCAGTTGCCCTTTAAAAGGGGGGAGTATATAAGGTATTTCTCCCGCCTTCTTAGCATGCCTTCACGGTGTAATGGTCAGCACGCTCGACCGTGGTTCGTCCGTGGTTCGAGTCACGGCGAGTGATGTTTCACGTCACCAGCTTCAAAATGCCTAATGTCACTATAATATGTACATTGTAATATTGAATTAATTTTCAAAGTTTTACTGCAATAAAAAACCTGATATCCTTGCACCATATGACTTCCTTGTGCGGCCTATTAAATTATATACATTTTTTGCTGTACTCCATTTAAACTTATTTTCTCGAATTATTCTAATTTAATTAGCCGATTCCTAGATGCAAGTTGAAAATGACATCAAAAATTGCAAATTTCGAAATTAAATGTTTCGGTCATTTTTTGTCGTATGGGAGTCAAACTTCTTGCAATTTATTTTTTCATAGAGTAAAAATTTCCCAAATATAAGTATAGAAACCGGGAAACCGCATTAATAGTTAGATATCGTTATTTCTCGACAATGTTTTTTTGAAAGTCTGGCATGAATATTTTCGTCACTTAAAACATTTCTCTAAGTGTAAGTAAAGGTCTATGACCAAAGATAGCGAAAATTAAGGCCGGGTGCGGACGTTTAACCCGGGTAAGGGTGTTGGTTGGTTGGATATATGCACATATTTTTGGGGTACTGACAATTGCAATAAAAAAGGGAAATGCACAACTAGTTGTTATAGCAGTTCCATAGACAAAATTCCAACGTTCTACGGCTAATCGTTTTTGATTATGTGAGATACATACGTACGCACAGTAGGGTGGCGTGAAAAAGGCCAAAAAAATTTCAAATTTTATTATTTCCTGACCTTGTTCTTAAAATTGTTCTTTTCGATGAAACAGAAACACAGTAAAAAAATTGCAGCTCAATCGCTCGTCATCTTCAGGTTTCACATGAGTTAAATAAAAAAATCAGTGTTAATGCTAATGAAAACACCAAACTATTTTTAATAGTATTTTTAATGATTTTTTTTACAACATTTTTGCTTCCTGACCCAACTTATGGTTACAATTGGTAAAAAAATTCCAGTAAAAATGTTTCAGCTTACTCACTCGTCATCTTCAGGTTCCACAAGTGACAAGTATCAGGGGACGTGGGCACTGTGTCTTTACCATAGTGGTTAAACAGTAGAGCACAAAGTCCACTTTTATCTAGAACAGCGGTCGCCAACCGGTGGTCCATTAAAACGTTTTGACGGTCCGCAGAAAAATTGTAACATTATTAATATTTTTATGAAGATTCAGTTTAAAAAATTCTATTATGGAGTATGGATTATACTTTTTTTTTTTTTTTTTTGTAATTTTAGCTATTAGTTTTAACGAAATTCCTTCTGAATTTAGCAACTTTTAGCTATTTTTCCAAGTGTATCTAGCGACATTGGAAAGCCAGAATTGGCACCCATGGATATACTGCTGTTATTAATAATAGCGCACACTGGAATTCTCTTTCTTTTTGAATTACAAACATATGCTATTGTAGTCATTAATAACACAGTTTTTCTCCGTGTCTATAGGCAACTTGATGGATTTTTATGAGAACCCTCTGCATCCTTGTTTATAATTGAATCACTGAAAATTTCCGTTTTTGTTTTGTCTAACTGTTGATCGATGGCGCCATTCCTGAGTAAGAGATGATTATTATGTTTACAATAATTAAAAATTTTCGACATAACACTTTCAGTTGATTGATATTGCGTTTGCCGGTTTGTTCTTGCTTTTCGTGAAGCTCCTTTTCAGTGATATGGAAATGTGAAGATTTTTGTACTTTTTATATAATTTTTCCATGTGAACGAAACATGTGTATCAGTGAGATATTAATAGTGTTTTAATTGTTACTCATAATCAGGGTCGTAGCCTGATTATGAGTTCTGATTATGAATTTTCATAAAGGCATGCTGCTGAACACTAAATGTTTCGAAAATTATATTAACAAATGAAAATTAGAACTACATGTATTGGAAAGTTGAATATTGTTTTTGCGTATTAATATGTTGTTTTTAAGGTCTGATTTAAGGATTTTTTTAATTCATGTTAGTGGTTCGCCAAATATAAAATGATATATGTAGTGGTCTGTGAAGCTCTAAGTGTTGACGACCGCTTAGGACGTATGGATAATAAAGAGGAGGCCACTTAGGTTCCTCGCGCCGAACGCTCAAACCAAGCGCCTAATGCATTCCAAGGGCAATATGCAAGAACAAAATGCCCTCTTGGAATTCATTAATAAT